AGTGGAAGGCATGGTAGAGACATCCCAGGGATGTTCGGGGATGTTTAGATAGAATTCCTTTTTTTCTTTCCTCAGTAAAGAGAAGCACTGGAGAGCCATGGTGCATCTTACCAAAACCAAATAGGATGTAGATGGCTCCCCGGCTAGTGATGTGAACTTGGGGACCGATCACTTTCCCTTCTCCATTGATGCTGTACTTCACAGGCCCACCCAAAGCAGTCCCAGTCTTTCCCGACACCAAGATAAAAAACACATCAGGCTGCAAAGAGAGAGAGAAAGAGGAGGAGATTCCTGGCAGTGCTTTCATGCATTTGAACTCTTAGATGTTTCTCTGGCCCCACAGCATGAGGCAGCACTGCTCTCTCCCTCCACAGCAAGGTCTGGCAAGTGGTGTTTTCCTCTTTGCTCAGTCTGGCTTCCTGGGACTACTACATTTATGCTTTTCTCTTGGCTGCAGAAGCATCATAGATAGAAGAGACAGCAAAAATTAAACTCTTCTAACAACACTAATGACAGAATTGCGGGGAGGGGATGAGCACAGAGAAAATTTACATCAGTATTAATCACACAAAGTGCTTCTTTTCTACAGATAATTTGAGTGCTCCTTTCTTCAAGGATCTCTACATGGTTTCCTACACTATTGCTAAACATTCACTTCAAGTTGAGTATTTGGTGAAGGAAAATAAATAATTCTCAAATCTCAGTCAGGCATAAATAATCACTCTTTTCTCCATTTCCAGCTGAGTGGAAATGTAGATAGATAGTATCACTACTGCTCGATCCCACTGCTCTGACCCACAGGAAGAAGAAAGGTGCTTTTCAGGTAAATCTAAGGGAAAAAAAATTACCTGCCTACGGGCTCTTGCATCCCTATTACAGGGATGCACATCAGGCTCCCTGTTCTTCCTCTAGATAGTCATGGTCCTTTCAGGCCCTGCCCAGGGAGATGCTGTACCTGTGTCTCCTTGAGCGCCAGAACAACAATATCCCCAACCCCATCTCCATCTACATCCGGAAGAGTGGCAGCTGGTGCAGCCAGGATCCCATTTGAGAGATGGATGGAATTCAGTGTCCAGATGGTCTTGCCTGCAGGAGGAAAAGGAAGAAAGAGATCTGCAGCATTTTGGGAACTGGTGGACATCACCAGTGGGTTCTACAAAACTTTCCTGAAGGACGGAAAAAGAGAGTTTGTTCCCCAAGAACAGGAAAGATAAACCTACACAGCATGGCAAACTGCACTCATTCGTGCTAGGAAACAAAGTTTTTCCATGGTCTTTTTTCAGACTGGCTTTGAGTTTTGCCTCAGCACCGCTATGGTTCCCTTCTAGTATCATTCAAGCCAGACTTAAGCCTACAACACTTCCTGAAGTTGCAGAGAGCATTCGAGGATCACTCTTGGGAGGAAAACCTATATGAGTGCTGTTCTGCAGGACAGCAGTTGTTTTCCTCAGCCAGCAGGAAAGCCTGTTGGTGGATATGAGGGAAGGAAACAGATGGGCAGCTCTGATACTCGAAGTGCAAATCTGTGTCTCAGCTAAATTCCCAGAAGCAAATAGGCACTCCAGCATGGCATGCTCACTCCATCTCAGGGGAAATGCATGTTAGCAGACATGATGTCAAACAGTTCAGCTGTCCAGCAGGGACCCTGATGTAAACTCAGTAAAAACTGATTTATAATTTGTTAAATTAACTTAAACACCCAAAGAAAGCAAAGTGAAAATTGATTCTTTTAGTTCTTGGACTTCCTTTTCCAAGACATCTGTTTTTTCAAACAGGATTTAAAAATCTTCTCCTTTTTTTTCTGTTACGTGGTTTCCTTTCATGACAAAGGAAACCAAACCCCAGACCTGTAAATGCCTATGCACACTATTAACATTGCTACTACTGCTAAAGGAGACAGCCTGTTTTCCTGACCATACAAACAGCCATGTGAGTAATCTAGTACCTAAAAAGATTTGAAAATTAAGTGGTAGTGCTCAAATGACCGGACGTGTCACTTCAACCCAATATTTCTTATGCCTTTCCATTTTCTGTTCTGATTCTGAAAACATTCTTCTGTACTCACCCATTATTATTTCTGCCAGTTAAATAATCACAGAATGCTTAGGATTGGAAGGGAGCTCTAGAGATCATCTAGTCCAATCCCCCTCCTCCAGCAGGGACACCCAGAGCACGTGGCACATGGTGGCATCCAGGCGGGTTTGGAAGATCTCCAGAGAAGGAGACTCCACAACCTCTCTGCGCAGCCTGTTCCAGGGCTCTGCCACCCTCACAGTGAAGAAGTTCTTCCTCACATGGAGATGGAACTTTCTGTGTTTCAACTTGTACTCATTGCCCCTCATCCTGTCACTGGCCACCACGGAGAAGAGCCTGGCCCCATCCTCCCTAAAATGACCCCTCAGGTACTTGACCATGTTAATCAAATCTCCTCTCAGCCTTCTTTTCTCCAGACTAAACAGGCCCAGTAATGTGGTAGGCTAAAGAGCAATCAGAGAATGGATATGCACAGAATCAGCATGATTAAAAATGTGATATTGATTCATATCTAACCAATCCTTCTATGGGACTAATTTCTCTGGAAGGTTTAGTTGGCTGAAGCACATGTCCTTAGAGAATTTCTTCAAGAATGGCATTCAGCTTTTAGTGTTGTTAGATAGGGGCTGCGGATGTAGTTACAGCTCAGTATTGATGAAAACAGCTGTTACAGAACCTTTAGGTCATGAAGATGCTACAGGATGATATTAAAATGGTCTCAGACCAGCAATGGCTTGGATTCTCTCTTATCCTGTGTAACTAAAAACGCATCAGTGTTTAGACCCTTTCCTGTGTGTTACTACAGGACACCACGAAGTGCCAGCACTGAATTATTCTTGCCTATTAGTCCTTTAAAGAAAGGAGCAGCATCTTTCTAAGATGCTGGTATCTGACCTTACCTGTGGAGGCATTGAGAAGGCTGAGCAGTTTAGATGTTCCTGTCACAAGGCAGACGGGCTCTGTAGGAACTCCCAGCGACAGCCCTTTGCACTGCACACTCAGAGTCTCCTCAGGAAGGTGGATGGACCACAGGGTGCTGCCATTCATGCCAGAAAGAGCCACCACAGTCACTGAAGGTCTAGAGACACCTGGAAGGGACAGGAGAGAGAGCGAAACCCCTTGGCATCAAAGGTAAGGTCCATATTGCCTTAGGTCCTTGTGCTTGAGTTCCAGGTCCAGCTTATGGAACTAAGCAGCTCAAACACTGCCTTAAAGCAAACATCAAATCCCAGACTCGGCAAGGCTGAGTCTCTGCCTCTGCAGCCTAGCAGCGACCTCCTGACAAGAGCCAGGGTGTGAGCCAACAGGACAGGTAATCCTGGAGGCTGGACCTGAGCTCAACCACGAGATGTGGTCAGGTGGGTACACAGGAACCAAGATGCTCCTGGGGCCAGTCCACTCAGTTATACTGATTTCCTGGTATCAAACAAATTGCTGTCAAATCACACTAGTCTCCTGATCCTTCTGATCCTTCCTGCCTCAAACCAACAGCTAGCACTGATGGGAAGCCTTATGTGATTCACAGGGCCACAGCCTTCTCTTGCAAAGGGTCTAGGTATTCAATATTTCTGCGGCAGAAAGTGATTTGACAATTTGAGCACTTTTTCTTTTGCTTTCCAAATTATTATCAGTGTTTTGAAAAGCAGATTGACTGCTGGAAATTGGAGCAACTTGGAATCTTTTCCTAATTACCACAGTGGAAATCATCTGGCTCATGCTGAGGAGATGGTTCTTATCACTGGATAGGTAGCAAATGAAAACACCTAACTCCTCAATGCAGCTCCTAGGTCTTGTGCACGTGGGCAGCTTAAGATGCTAATGATGCCACAGCTTAGTCCATCAGGTACCTGCTCAAAGCTTATCTCTACCAGGCACTGTATGAATGCTCTGAGCACACACTAAAGGAGAGTTGATGTCCAGTATTGTCAGTGTAGGACTACAACATGCTTACACCTGCTTCAATGCCTGCTTTTTGTCTCCCAGCATAGCTATAGCTCATGATGCAGCTTGGTACAGCTAGTTCCAACTCCTGGAGCATTTTGAGAACCGTATGTTTGTCTGTGATGGAAGATAAACAAAATACAACAGCAAAATACAGAGAAGGACAACCTTTACAAACTGAATGCAGCCTTTATGTCAGCAGTTATCTCCATCAAAAGAAAAAATAAAAACAAAAAAAACTTACTCTACACAGTTTTCTCTTTGCCCATGGGTTTCTTTCTGTTAGATTTGCTGTGAAATACTCATGGCCTTGCTTGGGCCATGGAGGAGCAACATTTCCCCTTTCCTCTAAGTTTTTACTATTCTGCTTCTTGCAGGCCAAGGCACTGAATTTATTGCCATTGTTTTTTCCTCGCAAGAGTTCTCTTCAGGCTGTGCAATGTGTTTTTGCTTCCTCAACATGTCTCCGGGACTGAATCCGAGGTGAAACCAGGCTGGGGAGCTAGCAAGCTCCAGGGCTTCAGAAGCCCTGAGCAAGAGCACGCCTCCAGAGGCTGCAGCCCCTACATGACCGTGCTGGTATCAGTAGGCTGCTGCTGCATTCATTATCTGTGGAGGCAGCAGAGAGTGAAAGTGGCTGGGATAATGGAGCAGCCTGCTACAAAGCCAGGCACCCTGGTATTCCCACCAACAGGCAATCGCTTGTGAATTAACAGCTTCTGTCTGGAGCCTGGCAGGGTATGGAGTGCCCTGGAGACAGAAGACAGGAGGGGGAGGATGTCTCCTGCAGCACCAACCTACAGCTGCTCTAGAAAGAAAATAATACGACTGCCACGTTAAGAGAAATTTGTCCAGCCTTCTTAGGCCCCAGGGAAGACAGACAATCAGAGCAGCTACGGGAGAGGATATCTGGCTGGCAAGCAACTGAGTAGCTCAGCGGAACCAGAGTGCTCCAACTGTCGGCTCTGCCATCACTGCTTCTACCCCCAGCTACCTTAGGAACAGCCAGGACACTAGACTATGGATCAGAAAAGAGACACACGAGTCCACACTCTGCCTCTGGATCTCATCCATGACCTCTGTCAATCTGCTACCCTTCTCTACGTCTCCACTTCCTTGCCTGCAAAATGGACATAGAGAGACTGAGCTTCTTTGTGAGGAGTTTTGAGAGCTACCAAAGGAAATAAACCTTATTCCTAGTTGCTATTTTTAGTGGGATGTTTTTCTGCTGGATATATCCCCACCACCAGATCAAGAGCTGCTCAAACAGAAGACAAAAATATGGACTTTCCCTGGATAGATATGGGAGAATGGATGGCTCTGACCAGAGGGGAATGGGAACACAGCTTGAAATGGAAATTATGATCAGGGCAACACACTGATACAGGACAGCAGCCATTTTAAGGAAATCTGACAAACGGACAATGTGGTGGCTTTCCAAGTTGCAGAAATTCTTCCTATGCATAACAGGAATATACAAAGGTCTGTACTGAAAAGTACAAGAAGCAGAAAGAGGAATGGAAAGGAGCTGTGGTGCTTACCCATGACACTGGCATTCATCAAGGCTGTGAAGACGATGATGATGTCAGGGAGCCCATCGCCGTTGACATCGCACAGCTCCAGTGGCGATAACACCCCACCTGCAACAGGCAGAGAGGATCGCCACCCTCAGAATGGCCACCCAGCCCAACAACCATACCAAGCGTTGAGGGCTGGCCCAAAGGAAGAGACTCATGGATAGATGAGCCTCATGGAGTCTGCTAGGTAACTACCAATGCCTGGCAGCTCCCACCATGGCTAGATCTTTCATTGCGTGGAAAAGCAGAGACCCAGTGTCTGGGTCAGAGAAAGAAAAAGGGAAAAATGTAGGAACTGATAAAGATGTCTGCTTCCCGCCTCACTCTTTGAGGTGATGTGGGAGACACACATCTTTAAAAAGACTCAGATTTAGAAGCTGGGGGCAGAAAGAGGGGAGGGAGAGACATATCTAGACTTGATAGAAATTATCTCACAAAACACTGTTACTTTGCTGCAGAGGTCAGAATGGGAGGCACTTTAGAAATGTTACCAACAGTCTATAGAATGACAAGAGATCATAAATGTTGATTTATGGATTTGAGCAAGGCAAGAAGACAAAAGAAATAAGGTTAGTTGAGCCAGTCAGGAGACACAAAGACTTCTATCCCTCTACTCCCAAGCACACCCACACACTTCAGTGTGGAGGTGCTGATGGAACAGGAACTAGAGAGGGAGGCAAAATGTTTTAAAGTGGTCTGGGCCATCTCTGTCTGGAACAGAGAGTACCATCCAGACAAAAAGGCAGCATGGGAGAAAAGTCAGAATGCTTTTTGGTGTTGACATAAACAAGATTTGGTGGCACTATTATCTACCCGGCCCAGATTTCACAGGCCTCCGCTTCAAGAGCAAACAAGACACAGGCGCCTGGGTGTTACCTCAGAGCATCTGCGGTGGTGAGGAAAGGTCTCTGCTCTGAGCTGGCTCTCCCAGATAGGTCTCTCCCGCCGATGCCCTGGGAGCTGCCACCTCCCCCACGCCAGATGTTGCTCCTGGAGGTTTCTCACCTGCTCCCTGACCTAGGTTGCGGTTCCAGGTGTTATGCAAGTCTCTAGGGGGACAGGGAATTAGAAATGCACACACCAACACCAGAATCATTGAGATCACCACAGTGAGCAAAAAGACCGCTGTGCGCAGGTAAGGCATGAGGGAGGGAGCAGCCTTCTGCTCCAAACTCCCGGCTGCCTCTGCAGGATAACCCTCAGGCGCGCTCTCTGACGTGTGCTGCTTTGTCATCCCAACCTCCACATCAGAGTCGGGCTCCTGCACCTCCTCGGGGGGGCTCTTCCCATTCTTGACCCCCCCATTCTTCTGTATGTTGAGCACAAGGTCATCTTCACTTTCATCACTATCAGCTTGAGTGAGGGGATCATATTCCCCAAGGTCCGGGCTCTTTTTTCCTGAGGAAAGAGATTGAGAAAGATAATAATGCATTAGCTCCTTGCTTTTTCAGGGTCTCAGGGAAGAAAAGGCTTTAGTGGACAGCAGTGCAAAAAGGAAGAGTTAACAGTCTGAATTTTGAACTCCTTTAGCATTTGCCAAACTGAGCAATCACACAGCCCCTCTTCACTTTGGGTCTATATCCTCCAATGGGGGCTTCCCTCTGTCACTCACTTTTCCCGTTTCTCCCACCTTGTCAAAGCAGCACTGCTGCATTTTGTGTCCTGCTTCAAAGGGAGGGAAAGGAAATGGTAGGGCTTGAGCACTGTGTACCATTTCTCAACTGCATTGATAAAAAGGGGTATCAACTCCCTGAAGATGAGGGCAAAGTAAATGATTTTGCCCTGGAGGGTGTGTAACGTTCTAGTTTCCAAAGGGAGCAAGGCTGCTTCCCTAAAACGCCACCCTCTGCATGGCTCGGCACCATGAGAGGGAGCGCTCCAGCCCCAGCAGTAGGAAAGGTCAGTGCCCCCATGCTGCTCCTGCTCCCCCAAGCACTGACAACACGTGCCCAGCCTTGCTGAAGTGCCACAGCACCAGCACCTTCAGGTGGTGGTACGGGAAAGCAGCTGAGCTCTAAGGGGCTTTCACCTCCGGCCAGGCCACCAGCGCTGCATGATACAGGGACAGCTGCTCCCCCAGGCCCTGACGGCGGCACAGACAGGGCTGAGGGCAGCTGCAGGGCCAGGCTGTACACGCTGGCACAAGGTCAGTGCCTTCTGCTTACGAGGGGGCAGGCGAGATCATGCGGTCTCACTGCCCTGAGCTACGAGCGGAGGATCACGTCTGAGGGAGCGGCCCTGAGCCACCAACCTGGGCATGGAGCCACGGCTGCTGCTCTGGGGCCTGCAGGGCTCAATCCTTTCCTCTCTCTCTCCAGCCCCAGGGTGGGCCTTTGCCATCCCAGACATCTGTCTCATTTTCCTTTGCATAAAGCTGACCTGAGCCAGGAGCTATCCTGTGCCTTAACATGCTCACGGTAACGCATGCAAGGCCTAAATAACAAGCAAAAACACACAGGTTGTAATCAGGCTCAGACATTAAGACGATGGGAAAGCTCTACCAAGCGGAAATTAAAGGGCTCTCCTCATTCCTTTTACTATACTATCACAGTTATAAAGACACCATAATATCCAGGCAGTGCAACACGCTAGAATCTATTTTGCCGCATTTGGATATCTCTGTTTTACCTTGAAACATTCACACAGCCTTAAAGGCAGTCTTAAACAAAAGACCAGCAAACCACCCAACATATCTGACCTTTGCCCACGGTGTCATGAAGGAGGATGCGGGGGGCTTCCTGTCTCAGTGTTCAGTGTCAGCTTCAGAAGGTAAAACTCAATCCCAGTAAAGCCAAACACCTATAACTTGGATCAATGGGGCAACACACCCATACTTACTAGAGGAAAATACAGACAGACAGACAGATCATCAGTATCTAAGTTAGGCCTTTCTGTTCCTAACTGTGTGCTCACAGAAAAGACTTGCATCAAAACAACACACTGCACACATTCACTCCAAAATGCTGTGTCTGGTGGCAATAGAGAGACCAATTAAGATACTAATCCCTATGGGACATCTGTATCTCTGCCCAGCGCTGCACGGTGTCGCACAGATGTGCCCTGAAAAGCCTTGCATGCGAAGCGCGTGTATTTTGGGAAGAGTTGGAGACTGAAACCTGTTCTTCATCTCTGGGGCAACTAAAAGCATTGATAGGAATGAACAGCTTCATTTTGCATCTCTAAGAGATAGAGCAGACCTTGAAACTGAGGCTCAACGAGTCCTTGAACTAGCTGAGATTAAGATAGTGGGACAGCTACAGTAGTGTCAGCTATCGCAAATATCCTGCAGCGGGGACACCTTTGCTACTGAGAACCTGTTAAGAATCCCAATTTGTTTGTCAGAATCTGAAAAGGATGACATAAACCACACAGTAATAACTTAAGGCTTTTAGTGAGGAAAAGCATCACTGATTTACAGGAGAACTAAAAGGCACTAAGCTGTTCTTATTTAGCTGTCTTATTTAACACCTGACCAGGAACCAGCAATCGGGTTTCCCAAAAGGTTCACCGGTATCCTTAGAAGGACATACTCAGTAAAGTCAGGCATGAAATGCAGTGCTGCTTTTACAGCCAAAAATAGGTTAGGTCCTACCCTTTAATAACAGCTGATGGAGCACTCACCTAGGATGTGAGACTCAATTGCATATCTAATCTCAGTGGATGTAAGCCTTCATCTCTCACTGCTCGGAAAGCGCCCTAGCAATCTGTAGCTATTCTGGGAATGCACTGGAAGGGCCAGGAAGGGTCTGTTCAATTCAGCCTCTTCGGGTGTAAGGAATAAATAACTCAAGATTCGCCTGGCTGGACAGGGAGTGCAGAAGGAATACAACTCTGCTGCAGCTCCAGGTCACTTGGTGGGGGAAGGAGGGGTACAATACCCGCCTTCCACTAATCACTCCCAAATGATTTTTAAACAGAAAAGCATAAGCAGAGAAACATAAATAGCTGCATGGGGTGTGTGGTAACAAGGGCAGTCTCACATCACACAGAAAATTATGATTTACTAAGAAACACTCCAGATGTCATATTGATCCTTTCAGGTCAACTCCTGGACTCAGGCTGGAGGAAAGACCGTTGTTCATCAAGAGAGAGCTGAAACTGCTTTTGTTGTAACAGAACAATCGTCAGAAAAATCTGTGAAATTCTCAGCTTTTCAGTGGTAGAACAGTGGCTCCCAGTCAATGGCCTGCGGGTTACAAGCAATCTGAGGAATTCCTGCTTGTGGTTTGTGGCCAAATTACTGGTTATGTGGCCCTGGACTCTTGTTGACAGCAACTGAAAGAAAAAGTAAGTATTAAAGAAGGAGATTTTCAAAGGCAGAAAGGAAAGAAAATGCCCCAAACTTGTTAAATTTCAAGAGCTGTGGAATCCAATTTTTTTATACCATATCCCTATGTATTTGCCTAATCATACTTTTTGCACAGGCAGCTCTTTGATTATTGCAGCCGTACAATGTGATCTTTCATAGAAGAAAAGATGAAGCATGTGATCATGAACTGGAAAGGAGGTATCCATGAGATGATCAGTGTTGGAATCAGGTCCAGCTCATAATGAAATACTCCTCTCTAGCGCTGACAACTTCAAAGATATTAAACTGTCATCAGTTGTTTTATTTACTGGAAAGACTTTTCTTTGCACTTGCTTCAGAGTGAAGAGGACTGATCTTGGACTTCAGACAAGTGCAACTTTTGTGCATTATCCCGATCCTGACCTACTGTTATCTAGTTCTAGTAGGCTGGCTTCAGACTTCTGTTGTTGTTGTTTTTCTTTTTCCTTCTTCAGCTGGGAGTTGGCAGGCAGTAATTACTGGGTACAGCAGACACGTTTCTAAGCCCATGGGGGAGACAAATTGCCACATACTGATGTAATTAATTCTATGAGATGCAGCAGGAAAAACAACTATAGAAATAGACCTTCTGCCTTCTCACTGCTGTTGAAAGCTGTATTTTTAGACATAATCACAAAAGTAAGATATCAGACACACTGTTTATCCTAAGGATTGACAGCACTGTTTTCTTAACTGCAGCTGCAAGGACGGTGCTTGTTCCCAAGTCAGTGCCTCCCAGACACCAATACCACATGGATCATCCCAGCTCTGGAGACCCAGATTTATACTTTTTGCACAGTTCCTCATGGCTCACCCACAGGCACATGCACTTTTACTCACCAGGCTGCACTTTTCTTAATAAACCTCTTGCAAGACACATTTCTTTTCAAACAGACAAACCAGAAAGAAACTGAATAGCAAGCAAAACTTCTTAGAGCATAAAACACTGCATAAATTAAAGAATAATAATGACAGTAGAGGGCCACTTATACAGATTGATAAATGCTGTTGGCAAGGGCCCTGCAGACATGACTACGACCTTCATGGACAGATGGCGGTAGGTGGCACGCTGGCCCACTGCCTTCTGACACAACATACGGGTATCTTTTCAGCAGAGCCTCTTTTGGTGGTAACTTGTTGTCACTCCACCTCAAAGGCCATGGGCCATGCCCTTGAGCAGCAGCAGGAACACAGTGTGCAGAGGCAACTATCTTTGTGCAGAAATTCCAGAACATGCACACCAGCCGAGCTCTCAAAGTGCAGCTATTGCTTCTTTATTCCTTTATGTCAGGACTTATCTTGGAGACACATCTAATTTGCCCAAACAATAGTCCCTCCAGCAAGAATACCCCTTCATCTCGCTGCCTGGAAATTATCCTCATCTGTTAGGCAGGTTTTAACATTAACCCGGCTCATACACTGGGCTCCCGGCCTGCTGCGGCAGGGCAGAACGGCGACAGCAGCGCGCAAGGGGCCCGGACACAGAGCAATGTGCTGGGAGCCCTCGCGCCCGCTGCCCCCCCGGCCCAGCCCAGTCCGGTGAGGTCCGATCCGGTTCGGTCCGCCCGTCAACTGCCGCATCGCCCTGGCAACGC